AGGGGCACGGACATCCCAGGGGAGCATCACAACACCCACGGCCCAGAGACAAGCAGGCATGGGAAGTTGCTGGCCAGGCCAGGAGCCTGCGGGATAGAGCGGTTTGGCTTCCTACCGTGTCCTACACCTGCCAGGTCTGCGACTGGCAGTGTCCTGCAGAGAGGGAACTCCTATCCCTGCCCTCTGGATGAGGGAGCAGGTGTAGGGGGAGGAGTGTGTGAGCGGCAGATGCTACTTGCTGGAGACAGTGCTACTGGGTTTCCCACCTCTTCCTCCCCCCAGCAGGTTCCCATTCAGGGGATCAATCTTCTCTGCATCACCACACTTGACTGAGAGTGGATGCTAACTGAGTGTGGGCATGACCCTGTGCCATGTGAAGCACTGCTGTGTGGTTCCATGACCCCAGACTCCTTAGTGGTGGCTTGTTGTGGGAGAATGGAGTAAGACAGGCATCTTCAAGAATCTTATGAGAAGGACCAAGAGGTTCCTGTGTAAGAGCATCATGGAGCTGAGAGCTCTGGACTGGCACTCCATGTGCACCCATGTGTACAGGCTATTGTGTGGCACCCCCAGGCTGAGTAGGCCAAGCGAGGAGCACACAGACCCTTGCAGCCCTGCCCCCGCATGCAGACAGGGAAAGTTATAGAACTCACCCAAAGTGCCTTCCCCAGGATCATCCAAGGCCTAGGAGGCATGCTGGAAGGGGAGATTGGCTCTAGGGTGAGGAGTAGGTCCTGGCCAGTGGGCATGGTTGCCTGGCTGGTCTCCTCTTCCACCTCCATAAGACAGCTCTCATAGAGGCTGATGCCGGGTGTATCCTGGACAGACTCCATGATGACGAGATGGGGAGGGGAGCTGACCAGCCCCCCTCTCAGGATGGTATCCAGCAGCTCGAGGTAGTGGCACATGTGTTGTGCCGCACTGAGGAGAGGCCAGGGAGCAAAGCGGGCCTGTGGTAGGCCTGCCAGAGCTCCTTCATCTTCACGTGGACCTGGCCGTACACGTCTGCATTCCTTTTTCTGGTGTGGTGATCCTCAAGACAGGTCTCCTCACCCCAGACCTCAATGAGGCCCGGGATCTCTGTACCGGTCCAGGCTGAAGCTCTTCTGCATCCCTGGCCGGTGACAGCCCAGGGAGCAGCCGCAGTGCTGGCAGCCATTGGAGGCTCTGAGGGAGCGTTGGGGGGTTGTTCGTGGCTCCGTGGGATGCTGCTGTATGGCACAGGGCTGGCAAAGCTGGCCACATGGCACAAGCCCTTCTTCTGCTGCCTGTAGTTTGAAGCTCCACTAGAGAAGGCCTCTGGAGGCCAATTATTTTGAATTAGCAGCATTGGATCATCCACACTAGCGCTATTTTGAAATAACAATTTCGAAAAAAGCATTATTCCCCGAGGAAAGCAGGAATACAGATTTCGAAATAACCAGCCCATGGTAGTGTGAACACTCTGCTTATTATTTCATAATAACTCCCTAGTTTAGACCAGAGCTCAGCAATAACTTGTTAGATAATGTGACTTACAGATTTCACTTCTGGTTCACGTAATAAATAGGATTAAGAAAACAATTCCATAAGGTCTGAAGCAAGAGGGATGCTTAGCACAGCTATTCCATGTAGAAATACTTGAAAAATACGATCTTTTCTGCCTGTCTTACTACTGAAACACATTTTTATCCTATAGCTTATTTCCAATGCAATGAGCACAAAGATTAAATGGGACTCGCTCTCACCTGAAAGGTGACCTAAGAGTTTGGGAACACAGGGCCAGATCCTCAGCTGACAGCTCCACTGAAAGATTAGATTATAACAGCTAAGGATTGGACTACAAAATGTAATTATTTTTGGTGTATGGTGCATTTTTAGGGCCTTGTTCTGCATTTTATGGGCATCCAAATCTGTTAATGCTTTCAAATGTGACAACGTGAAATCACTGTAATGTCTCTAGCGTTAGTTCAATACAAGTGCTCTTTTGCATGGCCAGGTAATAGTCTGTAGAACATTATCCATACATAAACTTCACTGATCTACCACAGACCAAGCCAGGGTTTGTTAGGCTCATACATGCATTTTGCTAGGATTAAGCAGCTTTCCGTCCTCCTTGTTTTTCATGCTGCCCTTTCAACAAACTTCTGAAATCCACTGAAAACAGCACTGTCTATTGCTGCCATGTCTCTAAGAGTTCTAAAGCAGCTCTTTCTTTTGAAGTTACTGGTGCTCCATATCATTACAGAATCTAACTGCAAAGCTTGAGAGCAATTTATTTCAGGTGCAATTCTGTTTAACTTTAATAGTAACTAACTGCTTTTAATGGTAGAATGCAATAACCATTCAGATCTGGGGGAAAAGAAAAATGTGCACAAGGGAAAGATTATTGCCAGACATAGCCTGTTACTGCTCAGTAGCTTTACCTTATCATTATGCACACTCTCAATCTAGTCTAACTCTAAACCAGCCCAAATGGAGAGTTAGGATTTGCATCGCCAAGTCTCCCCCTCCTACAGGAAAGTGGGGATCAACCATAAGCCATCTCACCTTATGAGGGATTTCTGTGAGACACAGATCTACACAGAGGGAGAGAAGACTGAGTGGGTTGTTGATTAAAAATCAGTGGCCTCACATCGGGAGAATGTGGGGCCTAAGGAACACACACTCAGTGATTTAGTCTGTGAGAGGTTAAGTCTAAATAACCAGTTTTGCAGGGTCTCTTTGGGAACGGAGAAATCTATTTGAAACCAGAAGGGATCCCTGGAAGCACAGACGCACAAACAGACACAGGCTGCTAATGGCACAAAGTTTACAGGGAGCCCCCTCATTGGCTCTGACCTTCTATGGATTCCTCAGAATCCCTCAGGTAGGCCCCAAAGGTCATTCCATGTGGAGTAAATCCCCTCCTCAACAATATGATCTGAGAGGAACACTGCAAGGAGTTCTTTGCAGTGAGATCCTCTTTCTTAGCCCCCTCTCCCAGGATGTGTCTAGACTACACCTCTCTGTCAGCAGAGAGATGTAGATCAGGTGCATCGAAATTGCTAATAAAGCAGGGATTTAAATATCCCGTGCCTCATTAGCATAAACATGGCCACCGCTTTTTTTTTTTAAATGGAGTTTTTTTTTTAAAAAATGGCAGTCTAGACATGGATCTGTTGAAAATAACGTCTTTTTTGACAGATCCTGTATTCCTCAAAAAATGAGGTTTACAGGATCTGTCGAAAAAGGCTTTATTTTTGACAGATCCGCATCTAGACTGCCATTTTTTTTGGAAAAACTCTGTTTTGAAAAAAAGCGGTGGATATGCTTATGCTAATGAGGTGTGGGATATTTAAATCCCTGCTTCATTAGCAATTTCAATGTGCTTGATTTGCATCCCTCTGTTGACAGAGGGATGCAGTCTAGACGTAGCCCCAGTGAGGGCTGATGCAGCCCAGATGATAAGTAATTTGGGACTGGAACTAGGGTACCAAAATGCATTGAACATTAGTACCAATCTGAACTGAAACAAAACTCTAGGCTTTTACTGTAAGCAAGATAGCAGATTTCATGGGGTGGTCTGTACTTTCAAACACTGCACTTTCATTAAGTACTTTGTCACTGCACATGCAATCCTAGTAATTATCAGTGTCAGAGAGACAATTATTTTTAAATTTCTCTGTGGGAGGTTAACATTTAATTGAAGAAATAAACTGCATTATGTGGACACTAGAGTTTAAAACAATAGATTTAAGCTATCAGAGTTACAATAATGAAATGAATCCCTTTCTTCACATAATTAGTTATCAGCACCACAAATACTGAGCCAGATATTCAGCTGGTGTAAACTGGCATTACTAGGGTCTGACCCGATGTGTCTTACCATAGTTACCATGACTGCACCACAGTATTTCTCATGCTCTGTTCAGCTCACAAGAAGTATAAATTACCTATTGCTCCCAATGTCCACTTATATACAAATCAACGTGCATAATGATAAGAATAAAGTGTCAGTGTACATAGTCTGGACTTCTTTATAATATGCATGAGAAATCTCTTTGTATCATTCAAATAATGTACATCATGTCTCTAATTTACACAGTCTATAATAATGACTGCAGTGGTTTTGTAGCATAAATTACTAAATAATAGTAATATGGTATCAAATAATTGTAATACAAAGAATGAAAAGTGTTTATAACTCATCCCTTAGATCCAACCCCTTCAAAATTCTGAAACAGTTAACTGTCTATATCCAGTGGGGCACTGTAGCAATGAAATAGTTCATATCATTCTTTATCTCAAACAATGCTTTAAACAAGGAAATGCTCTGTCACACTTTGGTTGATCAAACAGTATCCTAATAAATGACCTGGAGTGTTTGTTTTATTTCAATCACAACATGAGTTAAAAATAAGTATGTTTAATTCAGAAAGCAAACAGCACTCATTTAAAGGCTGGTAATCTTTCAAAATAAGGAGAGACAGAACTCAGAAACTCATTAGCCAGTTAAGAAATATTACTTTTTCATTGAAGCATAGCTCAGAGTTTGGAACTAATAAATTAGTAAAGAATTTTCATCATACAAACAGGTTGTTTCAAGGACCTATGGGAAAGTAATTTGCATACACCTTGCTATACATTCTTTCTGCATCTTGATTGAGGCAAAAGTTTCCTATGGTGAACACACTTAGTGCACAATTTCTGAGCTGGTTCTTTGGAATTCAGCGTGTGAAATAAGATGTGTTAAACAACATTATGGTCCTAATGCTCACAATATATCTATTAACACAAAACACAGAGGCAAGTTAAATAACAGTGTTGCTTTATGCACAGTGTATGTGGACTTCACAGTTCCAGCTACACAGGAGAGTCAATTTTTAGATGTTTAATAACAAAGACAGCAAATCTACCAGAAAGCTAGTACACAGTTGAAAACCCTGT